GAAGGCTGGTGGAGCTGGGGGGCAGGAATTGGCAGAGTGGGGCGGCTGTGGGGGCTTGAGGGGTGTTAGGAGAGCAGTGCGGGGAGGGGGGGGTCCCGTAAACGTTCCCTCATGGTTAACCCCCTTTCCTTGGCTGCCTTCTCCCGCCGGCCTCGCTTGCCTGAACAAACCCAGCCCCCGGGCTCCGTGCCCACGTGTATGGGTGGGTATGAGGCCAGGCTGGGGCAGCGTCACTGCAGCTCCTGAGACGTCCTGTGCTGACGCCACCCCTCGCCCTCACCCCCTGGGTTCCCCCGCCCCCTCCTGCCTCTGCGCTCCCAGCCCGGCCGGGGCCCACTGGTGACTAGGAAGCCTGTTCCTCAGGGGCAGGGCCCGCTAGCAGTGTGGCACCCCGGAGCCATGGGCCGGCCAGGGATCTCATTGGCCTCATGCCAGCCCATTCCTCTCCGTTCCTCGCCCCCTCCCCTCCTGCCCCACGTGTAGGGGGCAGCCCAGAGGTGGGAAGAGAAAGGTCCAGGTTTGGCTTTTTGTGGCCCTCGGGTCTCCCTCTCCCTCTCCCCCCCTTGCTGGTTCTCCTGCCCCTGCTTTCTTTCCTCCTGCTGACAGGCTGCTCCTCCTAAAGATGAGAGTTTCCAGGCCCCTCACCCTAGGGGGACTGTCTGTTTCTAGGCTCCCCCTGCCTGTTGCTCTCCCCAGTGCTGGTGCTTTCATGGGGTCTGATGCCGTCCGCTCAGCCTGGTGCTGCCCTGTCCCAGCCCCGCTATCACGTTCCATCCCAGAGCAGCGAGAACAGCTGCACCTCAGTTCCCTGCCACTCAGCTTAACCCTCGCTGTGCCGGGGGGAGGGAGGAGGGGCGGGACCAAGGCACAGAGAGTCCGGGGCAGGGCTGTTGGTTTGTTTCTAAAGCGCCCTGGCGATGGGTGCATAAGGAATGAAATTGTTCCTTGAGACAGGCCCCAGATGCATCCGCCTCCAGCGTGGGGGGCAGCCGGGCCTGACTCCAGGCTGCCCGACCAACCCCTGCCCCTGTGGTTGATGAGCCATGCCAGGGCGCTGTAGCCTGGGGACGTGGGAGAATCCCTCTGGGTATCTCCTGCCGCTCGAAATGGGCTCGCTCAGCTACATGGCCATGGCACCCATAAGAGCGGCCAGACTGGGTGAGACTAAAGGTCCATGTAGCCCAGTGTCCTGTCTGCTGACAGTGGCCAATGCCAGATGCCCCAGAGGGAGGGATCACAATAGGTAATCCTCATGATCCCTCCCCTGTCACCCATATCCAGACAAACAGAGGTCAGGGACACCGTTCCTACCCATCCTAGCTAATAGCCATTGATGGACCTAACCTCCATGAATCCATCTAGCTCTTTTTTGAACCCTGTTAAAGTCCTAGCCTGCACTGCATCCTCTGGCGAGGAGTTCCACAGGTTGACCAGGCTCTGAGTCAAGAAAAACGTCCTTTGGTTTGTTTTAAACTTGTTGCTTATTCATTTCATTGGGTGACTCCTCGTTCTTATATTGTGGGAACAAGTAAATAACTTTTCCTTATTCGCTTTTTCCACACCAGTTGTGATTTGATAGACCTCTAGCCTATCCCCCCTTAGTCACCCCGTTCTTGGCAGGGGGGGCTGTGAATCCCTCTGATGCTGGTGCTTTGGGTGCTCCCCTCAGGGCTCTGCGGACTCCTACACCAGCCGCCCCTCAGACTCCGACGTGTCTCTGGAGGAGGATCGCGAGGCGCTGCAGAAGGAGGCCGAGCGGCAGGCCTTGGCGCAGCTGAGACCTCTAGCCTATCCCCCCTTAGTCACCCCGTTCTTGGCAGGGGGGGCTGTGAATCCCTCTGATGCTGGTGCTTTGGGTGCTCCCCTCAGGGCTCTGCGGACTCCTACACCAGCCGCCCCTCAGACTCCGACGTGTCTCTGGAGGAGGATCGCGAGGCGCTGCAGAAGGAGGCCGAGCGGCAGGCCTTGGCGCAGCTGGAGAAGGCCAAGGTAGGGCGTGGGCAGGCGGGGGGCGTTACGTCAGCCCCATGGCTCTCTGCTAGCCAGTGGGAACTGCTGGTGCCAGGCCCCTCAGCCTGACTCACCGCTCTGCCCCCGAGAGGGCCGCTCTGCAGGGGCAGCTGGGTGCCAGGGAGGCCTGGCTCCGTCCCCTCGCCCTGCCCAATGGACTCGCTGCTCCTGCGGCAGCTGGCCCCGGGCCCAATGCCACCCATAAATCCCGCAGCCCAGGGACCCCCATCAGCTAATTCATTTGGCTCCTCTTGATGAAATGTCTCATCGATCGGGCTGGGCTCGGGAGAGTGCCGGTGCCAGGAGACTGCGGACTGGCGCTGCCCCACCTGGCCTCCTCCCAGCCCTTCCATTACGTGGCCTGGGGTGGCTGCCAGCTAGCACTTGCTGCCAAGTGGTTGAGGGGCCCCCCAACTTGTCTGGAGGTGCCTGGCCCCCCCCCGGCGCCCCTGTCCTTTGGCGGGAGGAGGCGAAATACACTCACGGTCCAGTCTCCCTGCCGCTGGGAGGAGGCCCTGGGGGAAGCAACCCCTTTCCCAGCCTGCCCCCGCAATCCCAGGAGTCGCCCCACTTCTGGAGCTAGCAGGAAGACACCAGGCCCCGAAATCACTGCCTGAGGCTGGGCAATTTACCACTCAGGGAGGGGAGTGTGGACTAGTGGTTGGAGCCGCTTGCATTTGGCCCTCCTCCTGGGTTCTGTTTGCGTCCCTGATCTTGGACACGTCTCACTTCCCCGCGCCTCAGTTTCCCCTCTGTGCAATGAACAGGTGTCTTCCCAAGGCCAGCTGGGACACTTCACCCTTGGCCAAGTCTGGGTGGCCTCTGGGTGCTCACTTCTGCCCCCTGCGTTCTTGCCCCCTGTGGCAGCCCGGCCTATGCACCTGCCTCTCCCCTGCCCCTTGCCAGACTCCCTGGGAAGAGGGGAGCTGGCGGCCCTGAGCCAAGCTGCTGGGAGACGGTGAGAAGCGCCCGCTGGCTGGGAAGAACTGCTGCCATTAGCTAACGAGGCCCCTGTGTCTCCCTGCGGTGCAGTGGGGGAGGGGAGGTGTAATAGCAGGCGACAAGGCCCTGCTAAGGCTCTTGGCACGGAGCGAACGCCTCGGTTTACCGCCCAGCCAGGCCCCTCCACCGGCAGGGCTGCGGGGGGGGCCCCGCCTCTT